ACGTCACCGCGCTGATTCGTCTTCGCGTTCAAACATGGGTGCAGGAGACCCAGTTGGTACCCCTCCGTTGGCAAACCTGACCCTTCACCAACCGGGGTCCGCTTTCAGCACGAAATGCCAACAGCAGTCACATGCTTACACTTTACCCTATCTCGGACAACATTAAATTTACGCATGTCATATAATTACTACCATCCTGGTACGCATTACTGTTAGCATGGTCAGAAAACAAAGCGCACCTTTCAAATGCTCCCAGTGGCTATTCCTCACCGCCTAACCAACTACCGCCGGGACAACTAGGCGCCTGCTGACCACGGGATGTAGAAGTGTAGACCGTCACTGTTACTAATCGGAGCTCAAGAGCGCCACGACTGTTGAAATCATGTTGCACCCAGCAGATATAGAGCGGATTACGTTATGTCGGATGTTTAGGATATTAGTGACAGATGGAGAGCATGGTGCTGGCTGAGTCAACCATAGAAAATACCCTGGATATGGGCGGTGTACACTCAATGCTTTTCGTATTTATTCAGGGTACGGCCTGAGGGGAATTACGCACTTCTTCAAGTCACTTGCCGAACACACGATCGAAAACAGGCAGAATCTGACCCTGGCGGACGCGTTCTCATCTCTGCCCGACCTTGAGGTGACCTCCGACTGACCTTGACCTGCACCATGAGCTGCTGCCGCGCCGTCTCGTGCTGCTGCAAGACGGCCGTCAGCCGACCAGCTGCCGACTGGCTGACGGCGAGCAGCTGCCGCGCGTGCCGCTGGTCGGCGGCTGACCGCTCACGCTCCAGCGTGCGCGACAGCTCCGCCATCTAGCGGAGACATAATGCACCCGAGTTATCGTTACGCGGCGATGGGCGGCGCTGCGTGTCGCAAGAGTTATGCTCTGAGACAGCCCAGTACCTATACTATTTCGGTCAGGCCAAATAAACCGGCACCACAGTCCGTGGAGGAAATTGGGGCTAGCGGTAGCTTTGTGCAGCATAAACTGAGACCAGGTTCTGATGCGAGCATACTGACCGATGCGGCTCAGTCACTAGCTCGGGCCGACATTAGCTGGCTCTCACTGTTTTCTCCCGGTCGATGGCGTGCTGCTGGCGTGTGTGGCGCAGCTCCTCGCGTAGCTGCATCAACTGATTGTCACGTGATGCCAGTTGGCGACCGTGTTCCCGGGTTGTCTGCTGCAGCGTGCGCTCCGCTACTGACACCTAGGAGCGGCCGGGTAACATAAGGTTAGTGATTCGACCACCACAGGGATATCACTTATACCGTGAACGGAGCCCTCTTGTGGCGCTAAGTTAATGTGCAGTTCGTGCCCTCATCGCAACAGGCACCAAAACATCTTCCGGTTGGGGTCTGAGTGAGCGCGTCGATCCTGTATGGGCTCGTTCGTAATGCTTATCTGTCGTGCCTGGAGGCGTCCCTTGTGCGGGGCCGGAGTCATTCAGCCACTGGGGACAAAATGCTTGACAAATGGTGATCTATATGTGGGACGATGTAAAAGAGCAGTTTTGGCCCTTTCTCGAGAATCGGGCATTCAGGGACTGCAGATGGTTAGAGACACTTAAACACTGGCTGAAAACATGCGAGGGGCAATGCAGCAAAAACAAAAAAAAGGGGAAGCGGCAATGTGACAGAGAAAACTAAATAAAGTTAAACTGTAGCAACAAATTTCTGGATGGCCTGCTATGACCTTTTACTCCACTTTTTTCCTGAAATACCAGCATCTCTGCTACAACTAATGATTCACAGCATTTTGACACTGGAATCCTCGGGCAAGTTGATTTGGATTTGAGCTTTGAATTAATTTGAGCAGATTCAAATATTTACATCACAATATCCACAAAATGAACCACAAAAAGCAGATTATAATATTCACAATGTTCACAACATTAAAATATATTCCCCAATCCTTACCTGGTTCCTGTGCCCTCATGACCAGTTTCAACTGGTCAAGTTTTCAACTCCTGATTCACTTCCTGCAGTACCCCCTGGGCCTCACACCCAGCTCTGACCCACTTGACAACTCACTCAGACCCACCTCACACATCACTCAGACCCATCTGACACTTCACTCAGTTCCACCTGACACCTCACTCAGACCCATGTAATACCTCACTCAGTCCCATGTGATACCTCACTCAGTCCCATGTGACACCTCACTCAGGCCCACCTGACACCTCATCCACACCCACCTGACACCTCACTCAGGCCCACCTGACACCTCACTCAGACCCATGTAATACCTCACTCAGTCCCATGTGATAACTCACTCAGTCCCACGTGACACCTCACTCAGGCCCACCTGATGCCTCACTCAGTCCCACCTGACACCTCATTGACACCCACCTGACACCTCACTCAGTCTCAACTAATACCTCACTCAGACCCACCTCACACCCCACTCAGACCCACCTGACACTTCACTCAAACCCACCTGACTCTTCAGCTCGGCCACCTCCAGCTGCCGCCGCTGCTCCGTCTCCTGCAGCTCCTCCGCCAGCTGTTGCAGCTGCAGCTGGTGCTGTTGCCGAGCCAGCTCCAGTTCGTCCTGCAGCTGGCTGCTGAGGGCGCTGGAGACGGCGTCCAGCAGCTGCCGCCGATGCGGGCTGGACTCTGGAAGCACGCGGACCCCACGCCACTCAGAGAAGGTGAGGGGGCTACAGCATGCTTTGGGCCTGGGGGCACGCTTCCGTGTCAGGGCCATGGGACGAATAAGGTGCTCTGGGTTGATCTGACATTTGCGTGAGCGCCTGTATCTGATGGTCCACGTGACGTCCGAAGGAAGGTGGTTGTTACACCTGAACATTCGGTTTGGTCTCAGCAGTAGCATGTTACAGTTACAGTTATTTTATTTGGGGCACATCCACGTGGTGTTTGTTCTGCACCTAGTTGAACAAGGAAAAAGAACCCACACACAGCACAGAGATACACACATACGTGCAGATACACAGTTTTAGTCAATGAGTCAGCGATTTAAAACAATCAAGAATGCCTGGCGCGAGGGGGCGCGGACGGCCACCGCAGGCAGCCGGTTCCAGGCGGCGGCGGCGCGGGGCGAAAAGTGTCGCTGGATGGCGCTGAATGTCGCTGGATGGCGCTGAATGACGCTGGATGGCGTTCAGTCGGACACGTGGCAGATGTAGCGAGCCAACAGCGCCCAAAACAGCAAACCAGCAGGCATGCCTGAACGTTCTTTAACCGAAGCTACGTCTAGTTCTATTGTACGTAAAATATGGTATGAAATATTCATACGTTTTACGCGGTTCGCCACCTATGCACTCAGCTAGACGTATGCCAAGTGGAACATACACAGACTGTCATGTGTGATGTATATTCCGAGGCAAGGGAAAAAGGAGTACAACCATTCCCGACCGAATCTGTTACCATCCTCGTCGCGTCCCCACACTGGCAATTTTTCGCTGCATGCATAACTTAGACAACTTAAAGAACTGAGCCCAGCGATAACTTTCCACTCCCCACGTCGAACGCAACAAGTTTCCGGCCTAAGCCTAACAACCTTTGTATCATAGAAAGCTTTCAGTCTCGACATTGCTGTAATACACACAGTTGTTTTCATATGCAGCTGCAATGCAGTTTGAGTCCCTGGGACTCCAACTAATTGTCATTGGCCCACAAGCACTTAATCAGCCAACGCAGCATCCGGCACCCAATGGTCACAGGTGCGCCCAATTTGGTTTCCAAATGTGATTAAGTGTTTTTTGATACACAAATACGCAAATTATCAGCCATAGCGCATACCCAAGCTGCGTCAGCTGAATTAAAGCACAAATACCAGAAACAAGTGCAAGTGCAAGCGCGTAAAAATATACAATAAACGCACACAACTAAAACTCATCAATGTCCACTACCTCATCTCAGAACACCCGGAACCCAACCGTTTGCAGCCCCGCCTGCGTCCCTCACCTCTGGCGGCCCAGTGACCTTCGGTGGCGACCGTGTCTGAAGTCACGACGGCGCGGCCGCGAGTCGAGCGGACCGCGCTGGACCCGGCCGGGGTGTGTTCCAGCAGGCGGAGGGTGTCCGACTGCGGCGCCTCCCACCGCCGGTCTCCCAGAGAGGAGGCGCCGCGCCGCCGCGTCTCCGGGGCGAGACGCAGCTCCCGTGCCGCGACCGGACGCGGCGTCTCCGGCGGGGACGTCTCCCAGCGGGCGGCGTCTCTCGGGGAGCGCGGTCGGGACGGCGGCCTCTCGTCGAGGACCTGCTCCTGGCGACTGACGGCCGATGGGGACTTCACGAGAGCCCTCTGACGCGCAGGGACTCGTGTCTCCATCTCGTCGTGCCGCGCGTCGCGCTGCCGTCTGTCGCGCTCTCGCGTCTCCTTCGCCGGCGTCTCCCAGTCGACAGAGTCCCCCCGTCGGGGCGTCTCCTCCTCGTCCGCCCAGCGAGGCCTGGCCGCCTCGCGGGCGCCTCGCTGGCGCGCGACCCGCGTCTGCCGCCTCGCTGCGCCGGCCTCGTCGTGCTCCCGCCGCCGCCCGCTGCTGCGATGGCTCCCACGCTCCGGCTCACCGTCCTCCGCGTGCTGCGTCCCGCGCCGCGGCGCCTCCAGCCCCGCCCCGCGCCGGTCCGACTCGCGCGGGGGCGCCCCATCCCGCTGCCGCCGGGAGCGTTGTTCAGCGCCGGCCGCCTCAGCGTCGCCAGCCCCACGCCGTCGCCGCCCGGGCTGCGGCACGTCCCGCTCGTCCGCCGCCGCCCCACCGGCGCGCCGCTCCGCCTGCTCCGCAGCGTGGTGGCGGTCGAGCCGCGCCCCCGCTCCCTGCCACCCTCCGCCGGCGGCGCCCACTCCGGCATGGAGCGCGAGCTGATGGTGCTGACGCCGCTGACGCCGTCCTCGGAGCCGCGGCGGCGCGCCGTGCGCCGCGCGGCCTCGCTCTCGCCGCTGGCCGTGCTGTCGGAGCCACAGCTCAGCATGTGGTCGGAGGAGGAGGAGCGCGCCGGCAAGCCGGGCGCGCGCGCCGCCGGCCGCAGCGGGGGCGACGCCAGGGCCGACCGCATCGAAGTCGTGAGGTCGGCCGGCCAGCGACCGGCGCCGTCGCCGTCGCCCAGCTCTGTGGTCGCTGCAGGCGGGAAACTGCAGTTGAGGCTGCCATGACGCGCTGAGTTGGGGCCAAACACAGGGGAGCGTGGATGACGGGAGCAACAGGTGAGGATAACACCGTGATTCAAGTGTTTCAAGGACCCACGGCCGACGGATGTGGATTCGAAACGTTCCACAAACTGTACTTTAATTTCCTCCACAAATGGAGTGGACGGACAATGCTGTACCAACCAAAGGACCCGAGATTCACACTTTGTAAAATAATCTGACTCGGATGGGGCAGAACACGCAGCAAAACAGAAAACTGCAATCACTGGTGACAATCTGCCAAGACATACTCAGAACTCACCGCCTCTATAACCACTCCAGCTATCCTATGCTCTCCAACAGGCGCCAGTCCGCCCCTACTGCTCACCCCTATCTATGCCAACAGAGTGAGCCTCGCCTCACCACCGCGGCCTGACAGTCAGGTAGGCCAGCCAGTCACGCAAGCCCGACAGTCATACAGGCCCGACAGCCTCGCAAGGCCGGCAGTCACGCAGGCCCGACAGTCACGCGGGCCCGACAGTCATGCAGGCCTGACAGTTACGCAGCACGTACCACGCGCTTCCTTGGCCAGCTCGTCGGCCAGCCGGCGGCGGACCCGAGCCGAATCCTGGAGCGCCTCCTTCAGTCGCGAGCCGACACCTAGCGGCGTCGAGGTGGCCAGATGACCACGTGACGTCACCACCTGACTGCGTGACGTCACCAGGCCACTGGAAAGGCCTGAATCGGTCCGCGAACGGCCGCCCATGGCTGCACCTGGGAGGGAGGGTACATTGCATAACTGCATGATGTAAAATGACACCCTTGGCTCCCCAATGAAAATTTACACAAACAATTTACATGAGTTAAGAATTAAACAAAGCTCCTATTTCAGAATACATTTTGAAGCTTGCCAGATGCATAATGACCAGTCACCTAATAAGAAATCACTTAATCTTGCATCTTAGTGATGACAGATAACTGACATTATTGATATATTCTTATTACCACCAACACTTGTATGTACTGACACTGGTAGATATAGAATAAGGGAAAATTAATGATAAATCAAAGGTTATCGTCCTGCCAGAGGATACTGATAAACAAAATATAAAACAACATTTAGTGATAAAAACCGCCATCAGCCAACCTGTTCACAGTTTGACATTAATGTTCACACCCAGAACTGTGGATAAACTCTCAACTTGCTGCCAGCATCAAGCAGTGCTTTCAGCCAGTGCCATCTGTGCAACCAATTCTGAATTGCAAACACTGGTGCGAGCCAATGCGAATTAGACTGGACAATCTAAAGATATGTGAATGTGATAATGAGGATGATATGCACATTATGTGCAGTCCTCAAACAGTTTAAGATATGTAATTGTCATGCACCATGGTTTCAGCATGTTAATGGGATATCAGAGCACTGCAGGACCATGCCACAACTTCTGCTGCATCTGACTTGACCTTATTTGCATCACTTTCTCTGAAATCTCATCATGCGGAATGGCTGATACTGAGTTACTGATCCAGGGTGGGCCAAGCTGACAAATCAGTGAGATGCACATGGTGCTACATGTTGTTAGTAGCATCATGTGGCCAGCATGATGAACTCATGGCACAAAATTGTGTGCTAATGCATTTAAGCAGCTCACAGACTTAGCATGCTCCCAAAAGAGGAAACTTCTACTGCGGTACTCACAATGTACCAAAGTAATATACCACTGGGATAAAAATCAGGAATAAGAAAGACAGCATCTAATAATCACACAGACAACACCAAATAAACCTTTCCATGGGCCAACTCATAGAAGGAAACATCCCGGGATATTCACACGAAAATCGGTAGGTTTGGCTAGATCTTCATTTGAGAGTCACTGAACTCTAAGCCCATTCTCTTTCTCTGACATGCTTTAATTAGCTAAGCATGTTAATTTTTTAAAGAACCAACCTCCAAAATAAAATAGCCGGTCTTCGAACCTCGCCCACTTCGCCGTTGTCCTAAATAGGCCTCACACAAATCCCTCGTACCGCGTTCCCCATTCCTCACATGCATCCTTTGGCGCCATTCATATTTGTCACAGCTGCGCCGTATACCACGGTTTTGGAGCGATTTCTAAAAGACTGTCATTGGGCTGAAAGCACTATTTTATTAACATACCCAAGCTGGTTGGCCTTCTTGGTCTGATGAAGTCTTAACTCACGCAAATTTTCCGAAACGACGTCTTCATGCATGTATATATGAAAAGCAAGGTACTGGGTTTCTCTATCACTTCTTCATTTCTAAACTATTTGACGTTTGTTTCCGATTGTAGAAGAAAACACATTTTCACAAGGTTAGGTCATAAGAGGTCATGCTGGGTCATGCGGTATTTATGCAGAATCCTCTTCTTTTCAGCTACTCACGGCCAGTGATTGATCGCATCCGTGTGCTGTAGGCATGTGGTTTGGTGTCTTAGTTCGAACTGGACCTCCCGTCGCTTTCTCCGTGGGGCAGTTTTGTGGCCGAAAATGATACAAAATCGATGATGATATTTGTATTGTTATGACGCATCTGAACACGAAACAGGCGAAATAATGCTATTTCTGCTGACACAGATTAAGGCTAGGTGTTTCTCGGTTTCATACATCTGGATGGAAGCTAACAGATCTTGCGGATGGGAAAAGTTGGTCATGTAACATACATTGTCATGCATTCTTTGTGTTCATTTGTTGAAAGTGAAGTTCGTTAAACAGACTTGTGTATGGCAGACAATTTTGAGTCGGGGTGCGCAGCAATACGAAAGTTCGTTGTTTTAGTAAACCCGTGGATAACCTATGTAGAATGGGTAACAGTTTGGGCTCGTTCAAATTTTGTAAAAATAACTGGTATGGAAGCGAGCGTGTCAAGACGTCTACGGCATGTTATTTACATGCCTCAAATTCATGCCTCAAAATCTTACTGTTTGTGCTTCTTTTGAACATTAGTAGTAAAACTCTACGCAACATGGTAGAATGAAGGGGTGCCTCAATAGAATAGCGCTTTCGGCGCACTAATGCGGCCTTTAGAGAGGCGCTTTTACTTTCCGATCAGGAATGGCACGTGCCCCAGTGCTCCTCCCCTTCTTGATCGTCGCTGCATAATCTCTATACTGCTTAGGCTAAGGTCCGTTCAAAATGAGGTACCAACATAACGACATACAAGTCGCCTTTCGTCAAGCTAAGCGGGCAAGTCCGTTAATAACAGATTGATGAGGTTGGAACGTCGGGCCCGCGGATTGTCTCCCTATCATTTACACAAAATGGCATCCCTGTCCCATTTGCTGCATGACGGCATTCGGAGGCATCGCCAACCGACACTTATAGTCATGACATCAAGGGCGTCGGAAGATCTAGAAAAGTGAGGGGCATGGCAATATTGACGGCAATTCTCGTCCTGCATCTCTAAATTGCCAATGTTATATATCCTCAGAAAGCGCGAAACTCACGCCAGACTGTCCCTACACCAAGTCAGAACATAAAACAATTATATAATTGCAACATTAATGATATAATATATAATTACATAACATATAATTATTACATATAATTATTATACAATTATATAAATAATTGCTTCTCGAATCGCCTCCGTCATGCAGCTGGCTGGCGCAACTACCAAAGCATATCAGAGCGGCCCGGTCGAAGCCCGACTTGCGGAGATTCTGCTCGACTGCCTCGCGACGACTCCAAGTGCGCACTGTTGGTCATGTCGGGGTTCACTGTAGCGGCAATGGGCCCCAGGCATCGTCCGTCACCAAACAGACCGTTGTTCTTGTGGTCTTTTCCACGCGCAAGGTCTGTCTCCGCCGCGCCGAAACAGTCTTTTGCTGACCTGATCCGGTTAATCGGAGCGGTTCGGCAGCAGGCGTGCGTGCTCGGGCGGGGAATAGCTTCGGGCGTAGAATAGCCTCGGAGCGTAATAGCTTCCGGCGTGACGTAGCCTCTGGCGGTGAATAGCCTCTGGCGTAGAATGGCCTTGGAGTGTAGTAGCTTCCGGCGTGACGTAGCCTCGGGCAGGGAATAGACTCGGGCTGGAAATAGCCTCGGGCTGGGGTTAGCTTCGGCCGTGAATAGCCTCGGGCGGAGAATAGCCTCGGGCGAGGAGGCCAACAGGGAGAGCTTGGCCAGCTGACCGTGGGGAAAGGGAGAAGGAAGACAAAACCTACGCCCATGCCCAAGTTCATGGATATGTGTAACAATGTTCTCGTCTGCCGGCTCCTGACAGGTCAGCTGCCGCCCGCGTGGTCGGCACGTCTGCGGGCTGGCCGCTGCTCACCTCACCTTCCAGCTACCGCTCGTGACCGCACTACTTGGTAACGTGGAGTGTCTCATCGTTTGCGTGTAAGGCGACGTGCTTTGTTTTTGTGGCAGGTCTGTAAATTGAGGCCATGCCTGACAGTAACACTACGATCGAAAACAAGGTTGTGGCCAACGATGTTGGTGGGGTGCCGGCACCTATGAGGGTGCCACAATGGCGTCGCCCAGATTCTCTGTGATGGGAATGTTTACTTGTTTCAGTTCCTAGTTTGATGCCCTTTTTCTCTATGCACAGCTGGAATGGTGACACACGCCTTAGATCCTTGCCGCTCCGCCCGTCGGAGGTGAGTCGAAATGTTGATGACCTATTGACGGCAGACCAGCATGCTTCGTATCAGCTGGCCGTGTCCGGTTTCAGTGTTTTGTTTGAGGAGATCAGTGCCCTCAATGCCCATGCCAGGCTTCGGCAGCTTCGGTCTGATCCTCATGAGTCTGTGGATGTTTTTGTAATCAAGTTCTGGAAGCTGGTGCAGGAGGCCTTCTGGGCTATGGTAATAGCACAGTTCGCTTCAGATGTTTTCTTGGCGGCCCTACGCGGGCCATATCAGGTCGATGGGGTGTCCGATGGCATCGCTTCTTTTTCGGCCGATGTCAAGAGGGTGCGTAATGTGACACGCGGCGAGAATCTGCGATCGCACCCGGTCCGGCGACAGGTCCGGGAGCACCAGCCTTCGTTGCTTCAGCAGCCCTTGACCCGGATGGAGCAGCTGAAGCAGCGTGTTAGTTGGTCGGTCTCAATGACTGTGTCAACCCTAGTGAAGGCGGCTCCATCCCCTGAAGTTGGCTGTTTTTCTCCTGTTGGCGGGCGTGACAGACGCCCCTCGGGAAAGTGCCTCGTCTGTGCTTCCTCGGGGCACTTGGCGGCTACCAGCCGACTGCGTGACTGTACCTGCTGCAGCTGCGGGCGAACGGGTCACTTGGCTCGTGCTGGTCGCGCGGCCAGTCTGGGAAACGGACCGGGGACTCCGCTATGGGCCCAGAGCGGAAGGAGCTGGCTTTCACCGTCCGGGCCAGCAGGGGCGACAGTCGCAAAGACGTGACTGGTAAGAGCAGCGTCGCATTGCGGAATACTTAACTTTTGATGCCGGGATATTCGGTACGGTGACCAGCTGTCTATTAGACACCGGCTCTACCATCAGCGTATTGCATCATTCAGTTTTTGAGTCCATGTCGGTCGTCAGGCTGTGCAAAGCCTCCACACAGGCCAGGACAGCGTTTAGAGATCCTCTCCCAATGTCCGGCAGAGTGAGCATCAAATTTGAGGTGGGAGATGTAGCTCGGATGATCCTGTTCTTTCTGTGCGAAGCCATTGGTGAAGCTCCTGTCTCCTTGGCCTGCACATTATGCAACATGTTCCCTGTGCCATAAACATTCATAGCCGGTTGTTGATAATTACCCCTGCCGAGTCTGTCCATACAGTATCAGTTGAAGCGACATCCGTTGAGAAGGCTGTCGTGGGAAGGATTTTTTCAACACCACCTGGGTCACAGCTGGTTATTCCAACTTCCGTTCACGATTGCCATGGTCAGGGTCCAGCTGTAGCTGAACCCACATGGGACCACCCGGGAGTGAAGGTAGCCAGTTGTATCGTGGACATGGACCATTCTCCAGTGCCTGTCATAGTACACAATGTCACAGCGGAGCATGCCACCGTTTGAAAGCACTCGGTAGCCTGGTGGCACAACTTGATCTTAGTCACCAGGCTACCGGCCTACCCAATCTCTCACACCGATGGCTCGCTGGAGTTGCTCGCCGGTTCGTCGTTGTACTGCACGCCTGACATGAACGCTGCCTGCTATGAGATTCCCATAAACCCAGCTGACAGGGATAAAACTTTAATCACTAACCCGTTCGGCAACCCAAGGTACATCAGAGTTTGCTCTAGGCTCAGTTCTGCGCCGTTTTCATACGCAAAAATGATTAAACATTGTTTTCGGAAACCTTTCTCCAAGGACCTGCTTTACTTACTTCGACATCATTGTGCAAGGAAAGGAATTTTGCGAAGAATTAAACGGCCTGGTCTTTGTTCTCTGTCTCCTCAGCTCGGCGACCCGAGTCTGAATTTCTGTGCGCGCAAATTCTTTCATAAGCAGGTCACATTTCTCAGTCATGTGGTCTCTGGGAATGAGTTAACCACAGACCGCGAGAAATTTAGAAGGTGCGCAAGTGGCCGGAACCGCGCACATCAAAGCAATTGTCCAGTGTTTTTTTTAGGACGAGAATCATACTTCCGAAAATATGTAAATTGCTTTGCGAGCATGTCGGGCACTATATTCCGTCTGACCGCCCGGGACACCCGATTTCAGTAGGCCACGGAGGCTCAGCACGCTTTCGAGAGCATAAAGCAGGCGCTCAGTAAGCACCACTGGTGGCGTTTCCTTGTGTTGATGACGATGCCGGCACGTTCACGTTGGACTACGATGCCTGTGATGACGGGATTGGTGCTGACCTTCTTCAGGAGCAGGACGTTGTTGACCGTGTTATCGCTTTTGGAAGTCGCTGCTTGTCAAAGTCACATAAAAATAATTCAATCGCAAAGAATGAGCTGCTCGCTTGTGCTATCTTTATTTAGGAGTTTGCATACTATTTTCGAGGAAAATGTCCCAGCTAAAGACGGACCCAGCAGCGGTCAGTGGCTTCTAGATTTCAAAAATCCGCCAGGAATGCTGGCTAGGTGGTTGGAC